GCCCATGGGGACCTGCTGGGGGGCAGAGCGTCGGGGGGGTTGGATCTATGGGGCCTGTGGGGGACTCATGGGGGGCTGGTCGTGGGTGGGGCCTGTGGGGGACCCATGGGGGTGGAGGGGGGAGGTTGGATCTATGGGGCCTGTGGGGGACCCATGGCAACTGAGGACCCATGGGGGTGCTGGTGGGTGGGACCTGCTGGGGAGGGTGGAGGGCCTGTGTGGTGAGGGAGGATCTGTGGGGGACCCATGGAGGTGGGGGGGGTGAGGATCAAGGAGGAGGAAGAGGACCAGTGGGGGTTCTTGGGGGCTGGTGATGGGTGGGACCTCCTGGGGGAGCAGAGGGTCTGGGGTGGGGAGAGGAGGACCCAGGGGGCTGGTGCCAGGGGAGGGAATCTGTGGCGGGAGCAGAGGGTTTGGGGGCGGAGGAGAAGGAGGACCCATAGGGGTTGGGGGGGTGCTGGTGGCACCTGTTGGGGTGCAGATGGCCTGTGTGGGGGACCCATGAGGGTTGTGGGGGGGACGATTGCTGGTGGTGGGTGGGGTTACCACAGGGGTTGTTGTGGGGAGAGTCTTGTGATCCTTCCCCCTGCGCTGCCTCCATTGGGCCAGGTGGCTGCTGCCCTAATGGACCCTCCCCTGTGCCTAATCCCTCTCCCCAGGCCACCGCAAGAGGTGACCCAGCCCTGGCTCTGGGGCAGAGCCCAGGGCCATCCCATGGGCCCAGCTCTGCAGAGCTCCTCTCATTCGAGTCGCAGCCTGGCCTGGCAGCGCCCCACGAGTGGGAGGAGCGCTGGGTGTACACCTGTTGCCGAAGGGCACTGGTGGTGGGAGCTGGGCAAGGTGGAGGCAGGTGGGTTGCTTGCTCCCTCCTGGCATTGTTAGCACCCCTTGAGCAGCATGGTGCTTGTGCCCAAGTGAGGTGGTGGGCCCTGAGCAGAACCCCAGGGAGAGAGAGCAGCAGCTTCCCCTGCCCTTTGGGACCCAAAGAGCTAACGCTGCAGATTAGCTTCTGGCAGAAACAAGCAGTTGCTCCTGAGCAGTAGTGATAGGGGAGATGATGTGACACTTAGGAGTGTTTCTGTCACTGTGTCTGAGCTTTTGAACTGTCTCAAGTCCCTGTGTTCTCTCTGTTTTCTATCCCCAACCCCCCGTTTCTCCTTCATGTCTTTTGCTTTGTCATCTTTTGGCCTGTACTTTCTACCCTATTCAAGCTGTAATGGCAGAGAACGTAGGGTCTAAATAACCAAGCAAAGTTCATGGATTGAAGAGTAATGGACTTGTGCTGAGTTTCTTGGTTATAATTAACTGATGCCTTACTGTTTAAGTAGTCTGTAGTTTTAGTCCACATTCTTTTCCTACGCTGAAGCCAGAAATTATGATCTATATTTCTCTTATCTTTATAGGGCCATAACTTGAAATAAAAGCCCAAAGAAAATGACTTTGCTAGAAACTGTATATGGTGGCATAGGGGCTCAACTTCTTCCCATATGAAAAATGGAGGTCTTTGAACACAGTCCACAGGACTAAAATGCTTTTGAGTTTGGAAGCCTTAAGTTTTAACTTGCAAGGAGCCACAAAAAGCCTTAGGTTTTACAGTAGTTATTGCCTAAATATTAACCATGAAACTTTTCTTCCCCAGAGAAAAAGCCTTATATCTGAATACTGATGTAGTATAGTAGAACCTCAGAGTTACGAACGGCAGAGTTACAAACTGACCAGTCAACCGCACACTTCATTTGGAAATGGAGGTATGCAATCGGGCAGCAGCAGAGACGAAAAGAAGCAAATACAGTATAATACTGTGTTTAAATGTAAACTAAAAAAATTAAGGGAAATCCGCTTTTTTCTGCACAGTAAAGTTTCAAAGCTGTACTAAGTCAGTGTTCAATTGTAAACTTTTGAAGAAACAAACAATATTCAGAATTCTGAACAATGTCCATTCCTGAAGTGCTCATAACACTGAGGTTCTCCTGCAAATGCTAGTGCTTCCTAAAACTAGGGGGTCCTAAACACTTCTGCAGCACTAGAGTAACAAAACCCTAAACACAGCTCATTCTGGACTAATACTTTATCAATAATGTATTGTCATTTCACTGTGTAGAGCACTGAATGGTTCAGAATTCAAATGCAGCATTACCCTAGCATGTTGTAAAAATCAGACATTGGGCCAAAAAGACCCTTTCTGTAGTGGTTAAAACTGATATGTCACAGTATTCAGGGATTCCTTGATTTCAAGTTACTTTCAGCTTAACTAAGCTAAACTGAGTATAACTGCCTCACATTTCTCTATGGTAACTGTCCTCTAAAGTAACCTATATAGTCGGAAGAAAGAAAAGGAGGACTTGTGGCACCTTAGAGACTAACAAATTTATTTGAGCATAAGCTTTCGTGAGCTACAGCCCACTTCATCGGATGCATTCAGTGGAAAATACAGTGGGGAGATTTATATACACAGAGAACATGAAACTATGGGTGTTACCATACACACTAAATCTCCCCACTGTATTTTCCACTGAATACATCTGATGAAGTGGGCTGTAGCTCACGAAAGCTTATGCTCAAATAAATTTGTTAGTCTGTAAGGTGCCACAAGTACTCCTTTTGTTTTTGCAAATACAGACTAACACGGCTGCTACTCTGAAACCTATATAGCTGGGTGACAAACAGTGGGCAGTGACTAACCACAGATTATATTCACAAGAAAACACATCTTGTGCCAGCCAGTCAGCCCGCCTGGACTCTAGGGGAGATAACAGCATCCTTGATATGTGAGTGACTCATCCCTTCTTGCAGACTGAATCTCTCAAGGTACAGCTTAATGCCTCCAATGCCCACTCATGCTTTACTAAAGAAAGTCTTAGTGATTAATTTTAAAGACCAGTAATTAGCTGGGTCAAATGGGAAGAAACCTATATCTAAACTAGGAAATCTCAGAGCCATTTGATTCTTAGCAGGGGCTGCTCCTGACAGTTCATGGAAGCCTTGTATACTGGTAGCCCTTGAATTAAGTTCTGGTCCACTCACTGTATATTCTAAGTGTGTGCCTGTTCCAAAACTGAATGCTTTTGGTACAATATAGTCATACTTTTTCTCTTAATTGCAGGATGAAGACACTGTTTGAGGAGATCAAAGCATCAATTAAAAATAATTATGATCCAGACCGCTCATTTTGGAGGCCTGTGCTCCCTTGGGGAGGGGTTTTTACTATCAAAGCTGGCCGTAAAGCTGTATCTTGCACACCACTTTATGTTGAAATAAATCTGAAAAATACTTGCACTATAGATGGATTCTTGATGTTGTTGTATGTCATTCTGCATGAAAATGAACACTTCCCCAAGGAACTCTCCCTTCATTTAGGTAGAGAGTTTGTCGACTACTTTCTTTACTTAATGGACACCTATAATTTTACAATGGTGAAGCTGCTTTGGATTTGGGACAAGATGGAGAAGCAACAGTACAAATCTGAAGTTCACAAAGCTTCACTGGAAATCGATTTATTTGGAAATGAGCATGATAACTTTACAAAGAATCTAGAAAGTCTCATGTCTACCATTCAAGAGAGCTACTGTTCAAATTCGAGGTGTCCAACTCGTATGCAGGAAGATCCACAGAGAACAATTAACATAAAGTAAGTTGCTGTACATACTGGCATGCAACTGTGATAAAATAAACTTCTTCAAAGGGGGCTGCAACTCACCTTTTTAAAAGATCTGTATTTGTCAAAGTGCTAGAATACAACTCTGGTTGTATGTAACTGTAGCAAATGCGTACATCCTGTGTACTCAAATCATTCCTCTTAAGATCTTGCTGTAGGAGACTTAGAAATGAACCCTTCTGGCCTAGGGTTGGCTAACAGTGTGATTTTTTTTTTTTTTTTTTTTAAAGAATATTGCATTAATTGCAGCAGAGCATGTCTCTAATATTCTACACGGCAGTGCTAAAGTTTTTAATTGATTTTGATGCTCACTGATTCAGTGGGAGTGCTGGCTTGGAGAGCTGTTCAACAAATACTGCTGGGTTGGGCTTTCTTCCCTCTCTGCTTGGAGCATGTGATATGAGAATTGCTCTCTTGCATTCATAGCTGTTGACTTATTGTGACTAAGAACTCTCCAGAGGTGCCTGTCATTCATGCGGGGTCCTCGCTACAGATTAACACTTGCAAAATAAATTACCTGCCTAAAATGGATTGGTTTTTCCACAGTAAAGAATAAATAGTTGTTTTGCCCTGTCCCAATACTAACCCTAGTAAATGTGTCCCCAGTGGCTTGGTGGAGTTGACCTTTGCAGTTATACCTAGAAATTAACAGAGGGAGGTTCAAATGGACAAAAGTAGCAGGGAGAGGGAGTCTCAAAGTTGAGCATCCTTAACAGAAAAATTTCTGTTGGCAGCTCCAGCTCTCAAACGGAGGGGCTCTAGCACCTCTGATTGGAACTGGGGCAATAGGTTGCTGGGGGAGAGCTACTTTCTCAGGCAGCAAGTTCCCAAACCACTGAGGATACTTCAGATGCTGGAGTAATGTGCTTTTGTGTTGAAACTCTAAATTACATTATTAAGCAAGTTGTTGCACTCTCCACTCTAGTTTCTTAGTGGTCTCAGCTTGTACCCAAGTCCAGAGTGTATTACACTAAAACACATACAAAGTCTGACAAGAGGGGGGCTAAGAAGTGAGTCTTGGAGAAGATGCGGGAAGGCCTTCATTTCTTAAATGAAGTACATTAGGCCAAAACACACATCTCTGGGGTTATGAATTCTGTTGACCTGCTCAGAATGATCACTGAAAGAGCTAGAAATGTAGTTTTACTACCTGACTCTCAAATCTGTCTAGCAGAAACTTTGAGAGCTCTTGCTGCGTCAGTGGTACCAGTATGAATCATGATCAGTGATTCTTCACCCTCCTCTACTGGAATCCTGTCTACTTCTGCCATGAGGTTTTTATACTAGCAGCTGATGCAGATGCGGTTAAGTTACAACTGCAGCATATTGACCACATGGTAAGGCACAGGGCTCTCTGCTACAACTTCGTAAGTTCTCTCTTGCAGATTGTGGTGTTGGCTTTCATGGGCTTGAAAGTCTGCTGGACTTAAATACTTCAGATTTTGAATTTTTACCCTTTCACTGCAGGCATTGTGCATCAATGAAAGCATTTTTCCAACTTGTAGTGTTCAGTTTCTTAGCTGGTCAGGTTTCAGAGGAACAGCCGTGTTAGTCTGTATTTTAAAAAAAAAAGGAGTGGTGGGGTCTTAATTAAAAAACAACTAATTTTATTATAGTATTTGATTTTGTTATCTCAACATAAAATAAAAATATAAGTTTTTATATTTCCTAAATTACTCTTTTTTTTTTGGTCAGGTCAACCTTACTCTGCTCAATGGTGACCCAGATGCTATGTAATTGTCCTGTGCTTGAATTACAGCGCTGTACCCTCAAGATGTTAATTTCGTACAACAATAAGTATAGCAATTAAGGCTTTGTTTCAACCATTCTTTGTCTGATTTAATAGTTGGATGAGAAATCACATTCCAAAACAGGTGCTCTAAACTTCTTTTAGAGGTAGAAGAGAAATTTGTCTAATCCCTCATGTCACGTATGAGCTTTTAAGGGCTGGGTCTGTGCTCCGAGGTAACAGCAGTTTTTAGGTTTAATACCTTCCATACGAGAGACTTTCAAGGGCTTGCTGTTTTAACATTGACTCTTTAACAGGGGACTCTTAAAACATTAGTGCTGCAACCTAACAGACCACTACCTTCTAAATATACACTGCTTCTCCAGTGAGGCATGCCAGCTAATCAATGAAGCCTTTCTGAGTGGGTTTAAGGTGGTTTTCTCAGACTGGTTTAAAAACACAGAAATCCCTGTGCTCAATGGTTGTACTGTGAAAATGAATATGGTGCTGAACAGTATGTAGAAACACCTTTTGCGGTCTATATTTGAAATATGTGATGTATCAACCAAGCACCAGTCCTCCTGTCTATACTCTGTTCTGTATTTCATACATTTCTTCTGAGTAAGGTATTTGGACTACCTGACTCTACACAAACACCAGGGAGGAAGGGAAAGGAAGGTCTGATGGAAACTCTTGTGGGTGATCCTAGAGTACAGAATAGGACAGAGCCTTTTAGCTTTATTATGGAATACATGCCATGAACAAATGTATCGTAACATTGACAAGATGAGATCAGGTTTAGCTGACTGTTTGCAGAGCTGAAAGACTTGACTCTCAGTAGCAGAGGTCTCAATATGACAGTCATGTTCAGGAAAAGTTGGTTTAGAGTTTTAGACAAAATGTTTTCAATATTTGAGTTAAAGTAGCTGGGTTCTTGGACAAGAAACAGCCTTCAAAAGACTCTTTTCATGGGATGATGGATTTTTTTTGTATTGAGTTTAGGCATTACTCTTTGTGGTTAAATGATACTATGTAAGTACAGAATAAATCTGATCAAATGTCCCTAACTATTTCAGTCCTCCCCAAGAAATTCCTCATGGAGACTTGATTCAGCGGGCAGTAGATGAATTATTCTGTTCCAAGATAGAGCTGTGTGAACAGTGTGGGTAAGTGCATAATAGATATTAAAGTGTGTATTTGCTATCCTAGAGGGTGCACTTGCTCACAGCTAAACAAAACCTTTTCCTTGGATTGAAATGTTCTGTGCTTGGTCTCGGCCCAAAGATGACATTGGACCTCTCAAACGGCACACATTTTTCCGTGGGTTCCTGCAGGGGGGCTGCCTTTCATAAACCCAGAACCAGCAGCTATATCCACACCTGCTGCTCCTGCCTACCAAACACGCTGATCTATCCCTGTACAATATAGGGGGCTGAACAGTCTGGAGGGGGGGTGAGGAGAAACAATGATGGTGTATTCAGAGTAGCAGCCGTGTTAGTCTGTATTCGCAAAAAGAAAAGGAGGACTTGTGGCACCTTAGAGACTAACCAATTGATTTGAGCATAAGCTTTCGTGAGCTACAGATCACTTCATCAGATGTTGGCAAAGGAAAATCTGAGGTTCCAAATCTGAGAGGCTTGTGTGGAAGGGAAAAATCCAGAGGCAACATCTGGGGGAAATTTTTGGACTAAGTTGCGGGGAGGGAAGAGGTCAATGAGAGGGGTGAGATTGCAGAATGGGAAGAGCAAAACAGACAGTGGGGGATTGAGTCAGCAGATTGCTAGAGACATTGTCATATTTTTAAGGTCCGGCTTGACAAAGCCCTGGCTGGGATGATTTAGTTGGGGATTGGCCCTGCTTTGAGCAGGGGGTTGGACTATATGACCTCCTGAGGTCCCTTCCAACCCTGATATTCTATGATATTCTTACAACTTGGTTCGGGTAAATGGATCCAAGAGCCCAGGATGGGGTGGGATGTGGGCTAGGAAGAAGCATGCCAAGCCAGATTCACAATAGTGTTCTCTGAGTTGGTGTTATAATGTACGCTCACCACCAGAGTGCCTCCTTATAGCAAAACCAGACATCTCAGGCCAAACACTTGTCAGAATTATCTGGGTATATCTCAATCCTATCCCTGCCAGCAGGGAGGCCTCAAGCACTGGTGTCCCTTGGTTCCTTCTGGTCTCTGCCTGCAGCATGTAATAGGCTAGTTTCCTGTGGGTTGTAAGACTTGAGTCTAATTTCAGTGGTTGGGTTTAGTGTACAGGTGCTGAATGGTGCTGGAGGCCTGTGATATACAGAAGATCAGACTAGATGAGCTGGTGATTCCTTCTGGCCTTCAAGTCTATAATTCTGCCCCAGTTTCCCTCTGCTAGACCCATCGCTATCTAGCCACTTGTTGATTCTTTGTTATGACCTCAGCGCTCTGGCCAGGTTAATAGTAGTCCTTTCCCCTCCGAGTGTTAGTCATATACCTCAAGCAGCCCATTGCCCTAGATGAGGGGCGCACGGTCCCTGGCCTCTCTGAGCATGTTGAAAGCCTTACTAAATCATCTTGCTGGGTTTGAAGGGGAAGTGAGGTCTGCACACTCCTCAGGGTTCCAGGCCAGGGCCATGGCATGAAGTGGTTGGCACTGCTCTCACCCCCTCACTGTTTCTCTGGTCTATTTCCTATAGGGCCTCTGAGTCAGAGAGAGGGGTCTTCTCTTCTAGAGGATCTGGTTTCCTGAGCAGTTTGTCCCCAGTGTGTTTCTATAGGCGCCTGCTCTCAGTGGCTTCCCCATCTCTCTAGCAGCCACTAGGCTGGGTTTCAAACCATCCTTCTGGTTTCCCTCCTTAAGACAAGAGGTTCCCCACCACCACCACCTTTTCCGGAGCTGGGGCTGTGTTTGACAGTCCCTCTGTGTCTGTCCCCTTAAAGCAGTCAGTATCTCCCTCCTTCAGAGAGGAGTCCCCTCAACTCTGCTTCTTGATCTGGGACTATGGTTCAGGTTGGTAATTTCTTCCCCGAAACAGGACATGACACAGCCGCCTCCCCCTGCCCTCCACACACATGCTCCTGGAGCTAGGGTTGTAACTTAGACCAGCTGTAGAGCCTTAGGCACCTTCTTTCAGCTCACCCCTTATCCCCAGTTAGTCTCTAGGCTCCAATGGCTTAGCAGTCATGCCCTGCTGATGACTCCCTTGTTATGAAGGAAGAGGCAGCATGTAAACTGGCTCCCCTGCTAAAGGTCGTGCCCGTCGGCTGGGAGAGAGCAGAGCCTTGCCCTGCCCACTCTTCAAGGCTTCTGGGCCAGGCCTGTGATGAAACAATAATGGGGATTTCCTCCCAAACACTACTTATTACGGGACCATGTCCTCTCTTCCAGTATCTGAGGCCTTTGCACGTCCAACATCCCAAAAATCTTAAGGACCATGATGTGATGGTGGGGAGCTGATCCCTCACACCACTACCTTTTAGGGGACAGATCACCCTAGCACAGGAGATACATCACTGTAATGCTTGAGTCCCTTTGTAGACCCAGGCCATAGTCCTCCCTTGTCTTCCTCCACTGAGACACCTCCAATTTGGGGTAGTGTGTCTGCTGTGTATTTTGCATACATCACTGCTGACCAGTACCAGAGGACCATTTAAAAATTCCAGCTGAAGGGGGTAACTAGCAACGGTGAAGGATCTGGGCCCCTGCTGCCCCAAGTGTCACCGTTGCATTTAACAGCAGTATCGCCTCAGATTACCAAAAAGAGATGCTCTGGACCCTTACAGTGGCATTTGCAAAGGTGCCTGAGAGTAAGGTGCCCAGCTCCTGCTGACTTTCAGTGAGATGTGGCACCTCATTCCCCCGGGCACCTGACAGTCCCTCCACCAAAGGACTGCTTGGTTCAAGCAGTAAGTTGGTAAGCAAAGAGTAAACTGGCTAGTGTCCTCTAAATTTACTGCAAATTATTGTTGCTCCTTGGCCTGAGCAGTTAGCCATTCTTCTGGACATAGCTGGGTTGTTTCTCTTAGGAGAGTGTGTTGACATGAGTTTGGTATCTTTGGTGCAGTCTTTGTTCCTGCTCTGCTCAGGAAAACAGGACTTTGGGTACATTCTTTATGAATAAACAGCCACCAATTTTCTTGCTCACTATTTCCAAGGCTGCCTCTCCATCCAGTCTTTGTGCCCAAAGGAGCTCTGCCTCTATCCCCTCTGAGCCATGCTCACAACTATGTCAGAGGCAGAAAGCCAATCAGTCCCCTAGGAAACTCCTTGGGCTTCGTGAAGTGGCTGCTGATTGGCCTTTTATGTGTCCTGGTGCCTTGGGCAGCAGCTTCTGTTGGGTCCAGTTGTCATACTCCATAAAGGAGGTGAGTTGCTGCTTCTCTGTAGCCTGAATGAGGGATAGCCAGCACATCTATCAGCTTTCACAGGTCTGTGATTGCCTGTGGATCATATGCTCAAATAAATTTGTTAGTCTCTAAGGTGCCACAAGTCCTCCTGTTCTTTTTGCAGATACAGACTAACAGGTCTGCTACTCTGAAACCTGTGGATCAAAGACACACCGGATGACAGCCATTAACACCTTCCTGCATAATATAAACAAACCAAATTCTACTACAAGACAAAACCTGCCCTAATAAAGTGTAAACCTACAATCATGTCTGGATGTGAAATAAAAACTGTTTAATTGTACTGCGTGCCAAGTGAAATAATTGCCATTTCTGCTTCTCTACTTGCAGATGTAATGGGTTAAGAGAGTTCACCCAGAGAGTTTTCTGCCATGGGGCACCGCCTTTTGTTGTTTTAAATATGCAGCAATGGAAGCCAGAAGAACTGGCATATGTACCATATCATTTGGATTTATCTGATCACAAGTAAGTATTTTAAAACTATATTTAATGAGGCAAACAACTTCTCTTCACTTCGTGTTCTCAAGAGGAGTCCAACAATCCTTTTGAATAATCTGTAAAGGAAAGGGTGTTTTTTAGAGTCAATAGTAATGAAGCAGTATTGACGGTCATGCTCACTGTCCGTTTCTGCTAACTTCTTATTGTCAAAACCGTTTTAGAGCAGTTTTGTTTCAGAACCCACCTTCCTATTTTCTATTAATTATTGTAAATACATCTAACTGCAGATATTTCAAATGTATTATTACAGGACTTAGAGCCCTGTATACCAAAATGCTAGCTGAGACCCAGTTAAGCATCAGAGAACTTTGAATCCAAATTTTACTTCCTTAGCTTGCCTGACAAGGAGAAAGTGAAGGGTGATGTGACTGTCATAGAGGAGCAAAGAAGGAAACTGTTTACCCATAAAAAGAACATGGAGGACTTGTGGCACCTTAGAGACTAACCAATTTATTTGAGCATAAGCTTTCATGAGCTACAGCTCACTTCCTCGGATGCATACTGTGGAAAGTATAGAAGATCTTTTTATACACACAAAGCATGGAAAACAAAAATGGGTGTTTACCACTACAAAAGGTTTTCTCTCCCCCCACCCCACTCTCCTGCTGGTAATAGCTTATCTAAAGTGACCACTCTCCTTACAATGTGTATGATAATCAAGGTGGGCCATTTCCAGCACAAATCCAGGGTTTAACAAGAACGTCTGAGGAACAGTGGGGGGGGGGAGGAAAAAACAAGGGGAAATAGGCTTGAATAGAGACTGGGAGTTCAAGCCTATTTCCCCTTGTTTTTTCCTCCCCCCCCCCCTGTTCCTCAGACGTTCTTGTTAAACCCTGGATTTGTGCTGGAAATGGCCCACCTTGATTATCATACACATTGTAAGGAGAGTGGTCACTTTAGATAAGCTATTACCAGCAGGAGAGTGGGGTGGGGGGAGAGAAAACCTTTTGTAGTGGTAAACACCCATTTTTGTTTTCCATGCTTTGTGTGTATAAAAAGATCTTCTATACTTTCTACAGTATGCATCCGAGGAAGTGAGCTGTAGCTCATGAAAGCTTATGCTCAAATAAATTGGTTAGTCTCTAAGGTGCCACAAGTACTCCTTTTCTTTTTGCAAATACAGACTAACATGGCTGTTACTCTGAAACCTGTTTACCCATAAGATTCACAACAGAGC